ACTCCAGTGATCGGTACCTGAAAATGAGAAATAATTCGTATGTACATAAGTTTTTATAATATCGTATTATTATTGAAATTATCTTCATATAGTTAATCTTTTTATTTTTCAGTCGCTTTCAGTGCTTAAGTAGTAAAAAGTTAAAATATTTAATTAAAGCTACAGACATTCTTTTGGGACATTTCATTTAAATGTGTCAGCTACAACGAACATCTGTAAAAGCCTTAAAGAAAATGTGAAGTTATATATAGAAGCGAACTTTAGAAACATGGATGAAGAGAATAAATATATATCAAATTAATTTAACTAATAAATGTCTAACTAATTAAAATTTTGTTGAAGCAAGTATATTGAAGTTTATGCGAAAATACTTGTCAAAAAAATAACTTTGGCTTATATTCGTTTCGAATATCGAATGTCAGTACAATATTTATATATGAATTGAGTCTAGTTTATCTGTCATAGAAAAGATCTTTTATATGATAAGTAATATTTTCTACTCAATCAGGTAAAATGTTATTCTTTTCTACCAGTTCGAGTTAATAACGCGAATAATAAGGAATTCGTAATAACGAGTCGATGACATCAATTTACAATATTCAATACTTTAGACATCTGCATTATCGCAATGAGAAAACGAAACTGTGATCTTTTTTGAAAAACGTGGAAAACTCGCATAAACTTTTTGAAATAAAAACAACATATAACTAATAATTTATTTAAAGTTCCAATAATCTGATATCAAACTAAATGTAGATCGCATGCAGTAGTCTTATTTGCAATATCGAATTTAAAATCAATTATTCGGTTAAAAAGGAATATATATTAAGGGACTTGAAATAAAAATGAAATAAATTATTCTTACCTCAGATGTTACTCAGCTGAGTAAATTTCATACACAAAACGGAGCTTTTAAGGAAGGAAGGATGCTCTAACCTTCCTAATCCGACGAATTCATTTAATAAGTTCTGCAAAGCGATATCGCATTCGTATCTGAAACGAAAGCATATCCATACCCATACTCATACTCGTATTGTAGACACAAGTTCACCTAACTTAAATCAAATGAGAATGAGAATTTACCTTCGCTCTGCTTTTTCCTTATATTTGCTCTCTAATAATTATACAATAATACTCGTATTACTGAAAAAGTAACATAAAAATATTACTTACCTTACTTAATCCAAAGAAAAAGGCTAATCTAAAATTCGAACGAATACAGAATTAAAATAATCGAAATCACATACATATCAGAACTCGGAATTAGTTTAATAGCAAATAAATATGCACCATATATGAATATGGTGATTATAATAAATTGAATGTACTCTGGACTGAATACTCACATAGGACGTTTTGACCGATCCATTATCAAATGCATGAATTTTCTAAATCGAACAAAGAGAAGAGAAGTCATCCAAATTAATGCTTTCACTTAAGATTTCAATTTTGATTTCGATTTTTAGATATTCGAATTGTTACTCACCTTAAGCGCAAAACATGAACGCCTTGATTTTGTTGTTTTGTGGCTATATGTTTGGCCATTAGCTGGAAGTTAGGCCAATCGCTTGTAAGATGACTTTAACAAGCGATTTGCATTCAGTTCAGCATTGTCTATATATGTAGGTATATGTTACCAATTTAGTAATTTCTTGCTCAACCTATAACTAACAATACTTAATATAATCTACATAGACATTTCTTTTGGGATATCAAAATAATTTGAATTTCAAGGCCAACTATTCTGAACATTGAAAAAGAATGTTTAAAAATACTGCCTTGTCGACGTCAGTTTCCATAAAATCCACTAGTGTGAAGGAAGAATTCGCAAAGTCGCGTTATTTTACGCGATCTGCTATTGCAGATGATTTTTATTTATCATTTTATTTACATAATGCAGAACACTCCGTTAAGTATTTAATAAAATATAGTATTTTCAATAAGTGTGAAAATATTTCTAATTTAATTTTCTTGTTTTTAGGAAAATATTTTCAGTCTTCATTTTCTGCTCTGAAGAAGTAAATTATTCGCAAACGCAAGTTCTGGAATAGAGTCTTTAACATAGGAAAAATAAACTTATGAAAAATAAATAAAGACGAAAAAAGAAAGACAAATAGTCCCACTTATGAAATTGTCATTATTGAGTATATGCATTATATAAACCTGGACGAATAAAAACACTCAAGTAAGATGAATGACACAGCAAAGGATCCAAATGAAAAATGCAACGAATTTAAATTTTTATAGGTGAAATTAATAAATTGAATAAAAACAGAACAAAACTTAAAAAAGGCAGAACAATATGATATTAAGTGAAAGATTGTTGTGTTTTTAAAGGAGAATGCAACACAACGCAACGCAACGTAACGTAACGCAATATTTCGATTGTCCTTAAAAAAATCAACTATTATTCCTCCCAATGCAAGGAGTTCAATATGTACATTTATATTTATTTTACTAGGATGCGAACTACTTTACTAGGTTACTACTTTATATATACAAATATTACACTATCACTCCAAAATGAATATTCTCTGATCAGTGCCTACTGAATGTTTCATCTGTATACAATTTATGTACAATTCTACAGACGTACTTTAATCATCTGTATCTTCCGCAATCGTAATCCTATCAGTTTTTACAGATATTTAGCATTTTTTCTAAATTATTTCGTTATCTGTTTTGTAGGTAATACGAATTCAATCCCAAAAAAACTTTTTGAGTCTTCTACTCTCTCTGTCAATGCTCCATTTTAATTCTTTCTCGATAATGTGGCTGATTTTGTTTTTGCTTGTTTGTTTTACATAAAAGCATGTAAATGTCAAGAGAAAATATGAAAAAGTAATATAAAATTCAAGTAAAACTTATTCTTTTATATAATTTTCATTTTCATCAATTTTTCTTTACTTATTACTTTTTACTGCAATAAGTTGATGTTCACTGAATATCGTATACCGAATATCGAATACCGAAAAATCCTCAACGTCCTTCAGTAAAGTGATGAAATAGGACATTGGAAATATGTACATTACAACCTTCGGGTTCATATCATATTTAGTTTTATTAATTTTATACTAAATATTAAATTACAATATAAAACATGTACTTCGCAGTTAATTTTAATGTTTTAGTTGAATTACTTTTTTATGCACATAATTCGTCTTTTATCAAAACAAAAATTACTTGAAAAAACATTAGGTATATACCAAAAATATCGAACAATGCATATAAATCAGTTCTCCAACTTAAGAGAATTAATGCTCAGACCATCAGTGCATGTTAATACCAAAAGCAAAGGCAGACTGAGTCGTGTCGTAAACGATCAGCTCACCAATCCTTTTTATTAAATTTTTATTAAACAAATTTGCGAATTAAGAAATAAAAGATAAATAAATATTTCACAGTAAAAACAAAATTTAATTAAAAAAAAGTTTTATTTTAGTTATGTTACAACGTCACCAATCTGTTTGAATACCCATCAGTTAACAAGACGTGCATGCCATCGTATTCTACGTATCAGATTTCACATATTTCTATATTATTTTAATCGATTTAAAAACACATTTTTAATTATATCGTCTTAATCACTACTGTCTACTTCAGTAAAATTTTCCAAATTTATATTATTCATTTATTCACTTAAATTTATTTATTTATTTATTTATTAATCAAAATTATTAAGGCACTGTCCGCTTAAGAATTGCAGTCGCGTTCACGGCCGTGGTCTCAGTCGTGGTTACCGTCGTAAGAATGATAACAAGAGAGAAATTTTTATTAAACTTTGATCGCACTAACAGAGGATCTTCTCTGTACCTGGTCACGCCTGTACCTGATCAATACACTATTATTTGTGTCAAAAGTAAAAACTTTCTCTATATTCTGTCGTTCATGATTTATGGCTACGTATACGTTAACTAATTCCATCTTGATATTAGTCATTTTACAAAAAGGAAGATAAAAAACACAATGTTGTCCAAGTTATCAAGTTACAAAGAATAAGTAGGAGTGTAGTCTCTATTGGAGATTTTATTGTATAAACATGTGATTTATTAAAGGATAAATAAATTTTTACAAATTGCTGCAAAGTGGGAATTTTTAAACAAAATTGAAGCATTATGTGATCTTAAACGCTGGCATAAGACCCTCGAATTCTGGTTTAGAAAGCGCTATTTTTATATCTCTTATTGATATTCAATTTTGGAACACAAATAAAGTTCACACAAAGACATGAAAAGTGCTAAATAAAATACCAAAAAATATATGTGGCTGTTGACAAGATAATTAAAGTAAGTGACCAGAATGAAGAGTAGTTAATTTGCAAGTTTACTGCTTGAGGCGGACGTTCTGTTTGAGAGTGCTTCGGAGAGAATGTTTTCTTAGACCGCCGAATAGCGAAACCTTTTTATATCAATTTTGACAGTGTTATGTTATTAATCTGAACACAATTAAAATTAGATCTACGTTTCTACTATATTCTAATATAAAAATAGCTTTATTAACTAATAAAATAAGGTAAACTGTACGAGTTTTACACAAACAAAAAAAAAACAATTTCGGTTTCATATTCACAATAGTTTATTGTCATCTTACACTTTCCCGTATCAAGTGCTTTATATTTTAAACTAAACTTATATACTATAAATATATGACTCTGTACTTACTATTTCTCTCATATGAAATTTTCATAAGATTTTACTAAATAAAAAACTACTTTTCATATTATTATTTTAATCGAAATTCTGATTTAATTTAGAAATGCACAATATTAAAAATTTAGAAATACAAAATACAAAAGTTTTTAATTTTTTATAGTTTTGTGACAAATACTTCTTAAAATTTTACTCAGCGAGTTGGACACTCAAAAGTATCGAGTAACGCAACAAAACTACGCAGTGCTCGAAATACTCCTTTGATGAAGTTGTATTCGCTAAAAGTTTTCCATGAAGAATATAGACCTAATACTTTCCATAAAATCACAGTATTGTAATCTTGGTTCTTGGTTCTTGATTCTAGGTTGGTTATCTCCAATTAATAAGATGCTCCTTTTCGTTATCCTTAACTGCAACACTACAGATCATTTACTTAGATTTCGCGTATGAGTCCTGTAAAAACTTCTGTGGAAAATAACTGGGAAAACCAAAATGTATGTAGTTATTTTGCTGTAAGTAAAGGTTCTTTCTTCAAACTAGAAATAAATTAATAAAAAAAACCTGTTGTTAATAGGATTAATAATTTCATATTCTTTTTCTGATTCTAATAGTATTGTAATTAAACTAACTTAATAAAACAGAAAAAAAAGTGAGTTTATGAAAAAATAATAAAAATACCCATTAAAATCTGAATCATATATTGTTTCTGATCAATTGGAACCGAGTTAATATTTTATGGAGAAATTTAGTCTTATCCTAACTGAAATGTAACAATTAATAACCTACTGACATATTACTAGAAACTTAACTTCGTTATTAAATTATTAATCGATACCGTATAAAAGACTTATTTTATTATCTTGCATTGTATAAATGTGATACATAAAAGAAAAAATCAAGAATTTTCCATTAAAAAGTTTTACATGATAGTTTCTCTCATTTTCATTTACGATACGGTATGGATTATATCTTAAGAATGCAAGTTGAATGGATTAATTTTTTTCGTCAAAATAAATATCCTTATATTGAATACGACTAGAATTTCTAACGAATTCAAATTTTTAATTTAACCACATTTTTCACATATCCTCTCTCAGACAAGATACATAATTTCCCTTCTACACTCGAAGTATAATATTTAATATATTTAACGTATTTATCATATTCAACGACAGAATATATATTCGAAAGAATTGAATTGAATAACAAAGTATTTTGAAAGTAGACTGTTAACTGTAGAGTTCAGAATCTACATTCACATAGGTATGGATGGGTAAAATAAATAAATAAAACAACTTAAATGTATCTTACACAACAAGTTTCTTCTATTTAATCGTCTATTGCACTGCCAACCTCCAAACTCCAAATTACTTTTTAATTTCAATGCTTCCTAGGGCACAGATAGAAAGTTGACATTATGTCTAAATTTTCGATATACATATTAGATTCCAAAATTATAGAATTCATCACTTTATGTCCAATAATGCAGAACAACATGCGCTAGAGGTTATATTTCAAAATGGTTTGTTATTCACAATAAATTGAATGGGTGACCATTAGTACAGTTCTGCTACATTGTCTATCGTGTCGCTGCATATCAACTTAATAGCGCCATCAAACGAGAACATATTTCTGTCGGATGTTCAATTGAGTTTGGTGCATAGATCAACCATTATATTAAAGGTATGATGAATTACAAAGTAACTCTCACACCATGACTTATTGTTCATTATTAATAACTCTAGTGATCGGTACCTGAAAATGAGAAATAATTCGTACCATATGTACATAAGTTTTTATAATATCTTATTATTATTGAAATAATCTTCATATAGTTAATCTTTTTATTTTTCAGTCGCTTTCAGTGCTTAAGTAGTAAAAAGTTAAAATATTTAATTAAAGCTACAGACATTCTTTTGGGGCATTTCATTTAAATGTGTCAGCTACAACGAACATCTGTAAAAGCCTTAAAGAAAATGTGAAGTTATATATAGAAGCGAACTTTAGAAACATGGATGAAGAGAATAAATATATATCAAATTAATTTAACTAATAAATGTCTAACTAATTAAAATTTTGTTGAAGCAAGTATATTGAAGTTTATGCGAAAATACTTGTCAAAAAAATAACTTTGGCTTATATTCGTTTCGAATATCGAATGTCAGTACAATATTTATATATGAATTGAGTCTAGTTTATCTGTCATAGAAAAGATCTTTTATATGATAAGTAAATATTTTCTACTCAATCAGGTAAAATGTTATTCTTTTCTACCAGTTCGAGTTAATAACGCGAATAATAAGGAATTCGTAATAACGAGTCGATGACATCAATTTACAATATTCAATACTTTAGACATCTGCATTATCGCAATGAGAAAACGAAACTGTGATCTTTTTTGAAAAACGTGGAAAACTCGAATAAACTTTTTGAAATAAAAACAACATATAACTAATAATTTATTTAAAGTTCCAATAATCTGATATCAAACTAAATGTAGATCGCATGCAGTAGTCTTATTTGCAATATCGAATTTAAAATCAATTATTCGGTTAAAAAGGAATATATATTAAGGGACTTGAAATAAATATGAAATAAATTATTCTTACCTCAGATGTTACTCAGCTGAGTAAATTTCATACACAAAACGGAGCTTTTAAGGAAGGAAGGATGCTCTAACCTTCCTAATCCGACGAATTCATTTAATAAGTTCTGCAAAGCGATATCGCATTCGTATCTGAAACGAAAGCATATCCATACCCATACTCATACTCGTATTGTAGACACAAGTTCACCTAACTTAAATCAAATGAGAATGAGAATTTACCTTCGCTCTGCTTTTTCCTTATATTTGCTCTCTAATAATTATACAATAATACTCGTATTACTGAAAAAGTAACATAAAAATATTACTTACCTTACTTAATCCAAAGAAAAAGGCTAATCTAAAATTCGAACGAATACAGAATTAAAATAATCGAAATCACATACATATCAGAACTAGGAATTAGTTTAATAGCAAATAAATATGCACCATATATGAATATGGTGATTATAATAAATCGAATGTACTCTGGACTGAATACTCACATAGGACGTTTTGACCGATCCATTATCAAATGCATGAATTTTCTAAATCGAACAAAGAGAAGAGAATTCATCCAAATTAATGCTTTCACTTAAGATTTCAATTTTGATTTCGATTTTTAGATATTCGAATTGTTACTCACCTTAAGCGCAAAACATGAACGCCTTGATTTTGTTGTTTTGTGGCTATATGTTTGGCCATTAGCTGGAAGTTAGGCCAATCGCTTGTAAGATGACTTTAACAAGCGATTTGCATTCAGTTCAGCATTGTCTATATATGTAGGTATATGTTACCAATTTAGTAATTTCTTGCTCAACCTATAACTAACAATACTTAATATAATCTACATAGACATTTCTTTTGGGATATCAAAATAATTTGAATTTCAAGGCCAACTATTCTGAACATTGAAAAAGAATGTTTAAAAATACTGCCTTGTCGACGTCAGTTTCCATAAAATCCACTAGTGTGAAGGAAGAATTCGCAAAGTCGCGTTATTTTACGCGATCTGCTATTGCAGATGATTTTTATTTATCATTTTATTTACATAATGCAGAACACTCCGTTAAGTATTTAATAAAATATAGTATTTTCAATAAGTGTGAAAATATTTCTAATTTAATTTTCTTGTTTTTAGGAAAATATTTTCAGTCTTCATTTTCTGCTCTGAAGAAGTAAATTATTCGCAAACGCAAGTTCTGGAATAGAGTCTTTAACATAGGAAAAATAAACTTATGAAAAATAAATAAAGACGAAAAAAGAAAGACAAATAGTCCCACTTATGAAATTGTCATTATTGAGTATATGCATTATATAAACCTGGACGAATAAAAACACTCAAGTAAGATGAATGACACAGCAAAGGATCCAAATGAAAAATGCAACGAATTTAAATTTTTATAGGTGAAATTAATAAATTGAATAAAAACAGAACAAAACTTAAAAAAGGCAGAACAATATGATATTAAGTGAAAGATTGTTGTGTTTTTAAAGGAGAATGCAACACAACGCAACGCAACGTAACGTAACGCAATATTTCGATTGTCCTTAAAAAAATCAACTATTATTCCTCCCAATGCAAGGAGTTCAATATGTACATTTATATTTATTTTACTAGGATGCGAACTACTTTACTAGGTTACTACTTTATATATACAAATATTACACTATCACTCCAAAATGAATATTCTCTGATCAGTGCCTACTGAATGTTTCATCTGTATACAATTTATGTACAATTCTACAGACGTACTTTAATCATCTGTATCTTCCGCAATCGTAATCCTATCAGTTTTTACAGATATTTAGCATTTTTTCTAAATTATTTCGTTATCTGTTTTGTAGGTAATACGAATTCAATCCCAAAAAAACTTTTTGAGTCTTCTACTCTCTCTGTCAATGCTCCATTTTAATTCTTTCTCGATAATGTGGCTGATTTTGTTTTTGCTTGTTTGTTTTACATAAAAGCATGTAAATGTCAAGAGAAAATATGAAAAAGTAATATAAAATTCAAGTAAAACTTATTCTTTTATATAATTTTCATTTTCATCAATTTTTCTTTACTTATTACTTTTTACTGCAATAAGTTGATGTTCACTGAATATCGTATACCGAATATCGAATACCGAAAAATCCTCAACGTCCTTCAGTAAAGTGATGAAATAGGACATTGGAAATATGTACATTACAACCTTCGGGTTCATATCATATTTAGTTTTATTAATTTTATACTAAATATTAAATTACAATATAAAACATGTACTTCGCAGTTAATTTTAATGTTTTAGTTGAATTACTTTTTTATGCACATAATTCGTCTTTTATCAAAACAAAAATTACTTGAAAAAACATTAGGTATATACCAAAAATATCGAACAATGCATATAAATCAGTTCTCCAACTTAAGAGAATTAATGCTCAGACCATCAGTGCATGTTAATACCAAAAGCAAAGGCAGACTGAGTCGTGTCGTAAACGATCAGCTCACCAATCCTTTTTATTAAATTTTTATTAAACAAATTTGCGAATTAAGAAATAAAAGATAAATAAATATTTCACAGTAAAAACAAAATTTAATTAAAAAAAAGTTTTATTTTAGTTATGTTACAACGTCACCAATCTGTTTGAATACCCATCAGTTAACAAGACGTGCATGCCATCGTATTCTACGTATCAGATTTCACATATTTCTATATTATTTTAATCGATTTAAAAACACATTTTTAATTATATCGTCTTAATCACTACTGTCTACTTCAGTAAAATTTTCCAAATTTATATTATTCATTTATTCACTTAAATTTATTTATTTATTTATTTATTAATCAAAATTATTAAGGCACTGTCCGCTTAAGAATCGCAGTCGCGTTCACGACCGTGGTCTCAGTCGTGGTCACCGTCGTAAGAATGATAACAAGAGAGAAATTTTTATTAAACTTTGATCGCACTAACAGAGGATCTTCTCTGTACCTGGTCACGCCTGTACCTGGAGATTTTATTGTATAAACATGTGATTTATTAAAGGATTAATAAATTTTTACAAATTGCTGCAAAGTGGGAATTTTTAAACAAAATTGAAGCATTATGTGATCTTAAACGCTGGCATAAGACCCTCGAATTCTGGTTTAGAAAGCGCTATTTTTATATCTCTTATTGATATTCAATTTTGGAACACAAATAAAGTTCACACAAAGACATGAAAAGTGCTAAATAAAATACCAAAAAATATATGTGGCTGTTGACAAGATAATTAAAGTAAGTGACCAGAATGAAGAGTAGTTAATTTGCAAGTTTACTGCTTGAGGCGGACGTTCTGTTTGAGAGTGCTTCGGAGAGAATGTTTTCTTAGACCGCCGAATAGCGAAACCTTTTTATATCAATTTTGACAGTGTTATGTTATTAATCTGAACACAATTAAAATTAGATCTACGTTTCTACTATATTCTAATATAAAAATAGCTTTATTAACTAATAAAATAAGGTAAACTGTAAGAGTTTTACACAAGCAAAAAAAAAACAATTTCGGTTTCATATTCACAATAGTTTATTGTCATCTTACACTTTCCCGTATCAAGTGCTTTATATTTTAAACTAAACTTATATACTATAAATATATGACTCTGTACTTACTATTTCTCTCATATGAGATTTTCATAAGATTTTACTAAATAAAAAACTACTTTTCATATTTTTATTTTAATCGAAATTCTGATTTAATTTAGAAATGCACAATATTAAAAATTTAGAAATACAAAATACAAAAGTTTTTAATTTTTTATAGTTTTGTGACAAATACTTCTTAAAATTTTACTCAGCGAGTTGGACACTCAAAAGTATCGAGTAACGCAACAAAACTACGCAGTGCTCGAAATACTCCTTTGATGAAGTTGTATTCGCTAAAAGTTTTCCATGAAGAATATAGACCTAATACTTTCCATAAAATCACAGTATTGTAATCTTGGTTCTTGGTTCTTGATTCTAGGTTGGTTATCTCCAATTAATAAGATGCTCCTTTTCGTTATCCTTAACTGCAACACTACAGATCATTTACTTAGATTTCGCGTATGAGTCCTGTAAAAACTTCTGTGGAAAATAACTGTGAAAACCAAAATGTATGTAGTTATTTTGCTGCAAGTAAAGGTTCTTTCTTCAAACTAGAAATAAATTAATAAAAAA